GAGCAGTTGCCCATGGCAACCAATCAGCTAAGATTCGAAAATGAGAAAGAGAAGCTGATTGGTTGCAGTGCAAATCTGCTCCAGATTTTGTCTGCTCCAGCTTTGATAAATTCCCCCCAGTGAGTCTGTAAATAAGACTTTAAAAAGTGAATGATATAGTATTAAGTTGTTTATACACAATAAAATATTTTGATTTAACAAAAAAGTGAAAGCAAAGCATGTTATCGATAACAACTTTTCTGTTGTTGTCTACACCAAAATTAAACCTATAGGGTTATTGTTCATTTGTCCACCCAGATACCTGGATGGTGGCTAATTGCAATACCTACACCTCCAGAACTTCTAAAGATTCTGATTTTCACTGAAAGTTACGTTTCCTAATAGTGGAAACCTGCCGAGAACAAGGATAAAGGCTCCGGGATGGTTAATAGTAAGTGTATCAATGGACATCGCAGCATATGACTTTCCAACTCTGGGCCTAGGGACAATATATCTCATGTAGCTTTTAGTAGTGAAGACATATGCCACAATGTATTAAGCTTTTATGCGCAATAAAAAAAGAATGGTGTTGATGTTTGTTTCTGGGAAATTGTGATTTCAGTTGCAAAGTATATTGGATGGTTTGGCACAGCTTATATTTAGGTACTGCAGTATTTCTATTCTGTTCAGGCAAAACCTTCATGTATTAGAATTTTCACCAAAGTATTTATTCACTCACATGACTTGCTTGACAGCTTCCTCTCTTCTTTCAGAAGTGACTGTGAAATGTAGCACTGGCCTTTTGTTGCTGTCATCTACCTTAATTGTTATCGTGAAACCTTAGATCTTCTAAGAATTTCTGCTGTGTAGGGAAAGAGTGATCTAACTTCTGTATTTTGTAATCCATAGGGAGAGTCAAGAGCTCCTTTACCGTAGTCCATCTATTAATCGTAGAAATCTAGGCCACATCTGAAAAAAAGGAATGTTGGATAATAATTACTAGGGAGATGTACGTTGGTTTGGCCTTTGTGACTTAAAAAAACTGTACAGGGCCTTTTTTGTATTATTGTTTGTGTTTGTAGATCATTGTTTTAGAATGTATCTGGAAACAAATCATTTCCTACCATCCACCTCCTACCACCAGCACTTAAAGCAGATGATATACTTACCTACATATGTTTCTGGAGGTGGCTAATAAATGCATTTATTCTATAAAACAATAAAAAGTTTATAGGAATGTGTGTGTAGATGTACACTGATTGGTATGCGATCTGATGCAAATTGTGTACTAGTAAACACTGGGGAATTCTTCTTGTGCATGTTCAGCATGTTCAGCCGACCCGAAGCCACGTGAACCCACCCGATGTACGGCAGATTTCAGCCGATATACGGCTGAAATCAGCAGTACCAGCCTGAAGTGAATAGCCGAACAGCGTTCGGCTCACTTCGCTTTGTGTTGGTCAGTCACTCGGCTGCCTACGGCAGCTTAGTGAATAGACCCCCAAATGTTTAAACTGAGAAAAATTACCATTTTAAGAAAAAAATAAGGTAGTTTTGAAATTGATGGCAGCAAAACATCCCAAAAAAGGTTGGGACAGATCCATGTTTACCATGATGTAGCATTCCCTCTTCTTTTAACAACACTCTGTAAACGTCTTGGAGCTGAGGAGACCGGTTGCTGGAGTTTTGGGAGAGGAATGTTGTCCCAATATTGCCTGATATAAGATTCTAACTGCTCAACAGTCCTGGGTCTTCTGTGCCATATTTTTTCAATTGGTGAAAGATCTGGACTGCAGGCAGGCTAGTTAAGCACCAAGACTCTTTTACTACAAAGCCTTGCTGTTGTCATAGATGGATGGAAGTATATGCTGCTCTAAAACCTGGATATATCTTTCAGCATTGATGGTGCCTTTCCAGATGTGCAAGCTGCCCATTCCATATGCACTAATGCACCCCCATACCATCAGAGATGCTGGCTTTTGAACTGAGCACTGATAATAAGCTGGCAGGTCCCTCTCCTATTATTAGTCCTAGGGACACGGCACTCATGGTTGCCAAAAAGAATGTCAAATTTTGATTCGTCTAACCACAGAACAGTTTTCCACTTTGTGATAGACCATTTAAAATAAGCTTTGGCCCAGAGAAGATGGCGGGATTTCTGAATCATGTTCAGATATGGCTTTTTCTTTGCATGATAGAGACCTGGCATTTTTGGATGGCATGGCGAACTGTGTTTACAGACCGTGATTTTTGGAAGTGTTCCTGAGCCCATGCAGTGATATCCATCCCAGAATCATGCCTGTTTTCAATGCTGTGCCGTCTGAGGGCAGAAGATCAATATTGCATTTCGGCCTTGTCCCTTTGTTCACAGATTCTCTGACTCTTTTGATGATATTATGTACTGTGGACGATGATATATTTAAAGTATTTGCAATTTTACATTGAGGAACATTAGTCTGAAATTAGATAATTTGTAGATGCTTATTTCACAGATTGGTGAACCTCTGCCCATCTTTACTTCTGTAAACCCTCATATTCTCTAAGATGCTCTTTTTATACCCAATCATGTTAATGACCTGTTGTCAATTAAAGTAATTAGTTGCAAAATGTTCTTTCAGCTCTTCCTTGCTAGTGCATCTTACTTTGCCAGCTTTTTGTTGCCCTGTCCCAACCTTTTTGAGATGTGTTGCTGCCAGTAATTTCAAAATGACCTTAGTTTTTTATTAAAATGGGACATTTTCTCAGTTTAAACATATAATACATTTTCTATTTTCCATTGTAAATAAAATATGGGTTTATGAGATTTGCAGATCATTTTATTCTGTGTTTACGTAGATTGTACACAGCGTCCCAACTTTTTTGGAATTGAGGTTGTAAACCTGAATTTAAATATTTAGCTTTCATAATAAACATAAAGGAGTTAGGGATACTGTAGAGACATGGTGTGTATAAGTTACTTTTACTGCACCTTTAAATTGAAGTAGTCTAGGCATCAACTTGTAGAAGGCATAATGGTTATATCACATGTTTCCCCTCTGTACCTGACTGCATTCTAAATCCCTGACAATGCTGAATGACAGTGAACTTTTAGCATGACTTGTGTTTTAGGGCAGACATTCTTACCTCCTGGGCTAAATGATTAAACAGGAGCCCTAATGTTCTGTGGCCGTCTGTTTTTCATCAACGAGTCTGTCCCAGGGAGGTTCACTATATAGACATATACGGTACCAAACTACCTCAAGTTTGCAAAGAACCAAGAATGGAATGTTGTCATAGGTTATGTTTATGTTTCTGGTAAACGTGTTGCAGTATAGGGATAGCAAACCCCTTGAAACAGTATGTTAACCTATTAAAGGTTGCAAATTTCTTTTGACCAACACACGATGAAAAATAGTTATGCATTGTTTTCTACAAATAGCTGTATCCAGTGAGTTATTCTAATAACAGCGTCTTCTGTCTGGAGAAAGAAACTGACATCTCGGCTCAGGCTCCATAGGATGTCACATTCCACAACATGTAACATGAACCCTGGGCCTCATTCCCCCCCACAGGGCCAAGATGTGAGACTGTTAGCAAGTTTGGGGTATATGGGTATAGTTTCTAAAAATATACAATTAAGAATTCCCTATTGTCAGGCAGCTTTCTGTGGAATTTCTGTTATGCTATGTCTGCTAGCAGCAGTCTAATGTGGTGCACAAATAAATGAAATGTACTTGTATTGATTTTAAAGAAAGGGGGGCTTCCTTCAGCCTTTTTTAAAGATTTTTTAGATGTGTGTGTAAATGTGATTAACGCAATGCAGATAGTTTTATCCATGTGTGTTATTATTTTTAAAGGCTTATTTTTTATTCCTTGATTATTTTTGAAAATATATGTTCAAATATTTGTGCATTGGCAGTGCCATACAATTTTTTTTTTAGTATTTGCCAGTTGTGCTTCCCATCTCATAATGCTACTGATTGATCATCTTTTCCTGCTCTCAGTACACATCTATCAGTCTGCTCACACTGATAAAAGACAGATAAATCCCAGCTATGTGTATACTGTATACTATAAAATACTATAAAATATACTATACTATAACAATATTTTTTGTATTAATGTTTCTATAGTTACATTCTGGTCACATGCTTCAGTACTGGTGCATAAGATAAAATACTTAGAAGTCTGTAGTAAGTAGGGGCTGCTGCAGATTGTCATAATAATACTGACATCATACTGATATCTATGCAGAATCTTGCTGCAAAAAGATCCTGGGTAAATAATGCATATAATACACAGTGCTTCCATTCAGACGTGTAAACGTCTGTAAAATGTCCACATCCCTAACATTCTTCATTCATTCCCCTAGATCAGTTTTACATCCCAGTATATACATGTGTGCATGCATTTACATGCGTGCACACCTTAATTTCACAGAATTTTTTTTATTTTATGCAGCTGTGTGGATGTAAGATTGTTTGAATGGCTTAGCTGGACCTGTAAATTCCATGTAATGCTGGCCATACACTGGTAGACTTTCGAAACGAAAACCACATTCACTTTTAGAATTTCGTTCACTCGACAAATATTTTTCATCCTGCATCTTCGATTTTGCTTGTCACTATGGTCGAAATATATTGTCGCTTACCCCCATTAACTATTAGAAAATCAAACAATTTTAACCTTGTATACCTAGCTTAAATTAGAATGTTTACAGGTTGAACTGTAGCGGGACTTGTATGAAGATGTTTGCAGAGGGCTAAATAAATGATATGGTAACTACAGAAACACCTTTTAATTTCTGCTAACGTGTGATTACCTGTAATAAATACCCATATTTGTTCAAATATGGCTCAATTTTGCTTTAAAGTGAGTATTAAAACATTTGTAGCAGGGATATGTAGTATTCCATGAATGTACCACATACATTGAGGAGCAAGTTAGTAAACTAATATTGATAAACGCATGCTTGTTTTTGTTGTATTCTAGGGAAATGTTTAGAATGTATTCATCGGGACTATTGTTTTATTTTAATTCAGGTATTCACGTATAAACAAAGCACAATTACTCGCCAGAAGGTGACCACTATGCATCCAACCAGCACAAATGGCGTAGAAGACATGGCATCGCTGGGTGATCTCCATGAAGGGTCTATAATGTACAATCTCTACAAGCGATACCAGGAAGACAACATTTATGTAAGTTTTTTGTTTTTTTTATTCTTTAAAGGGTAATTACAGCTTCTGTGATAAAACTTTAATGCATATCTTTACCCAAAAATAATATATTGCAGCTCACTAGGCCTTAGATGTGGACATTGCATTTGTTTAAATTTTTCAGGCTAAGAACATTTTTAGTAAGTACAGAAATACTTGTTGATCTTGCTGGACATGCAGTATCCTTGTCATTTCCTGTGAACTGAAAAAAGCAAAATCTTATATTAAGTAGGGTATACACTGGTAGATTTCCGAACAAACATATATACGAAATACCTAATTGGAACCTTCGATAATGCCATCAGACACTTGACAAATTTTGTTCAAACATTTGTTTGATTTTCCATTTGATTTAACATTGATTTTGGAATGCATGGAGTTTCCTCGAATGACAGCCACATTCACTGTTAGAATTTATTTCAATTAAGAAAAAGTTTCCAACATGCTCCTTTGAAAAAAAAAATATCACTGTGGTTGAAATTGATCATTGATTTGTTCCGATCAACAATTAGAAATGAAATCGAACATTCTGAAATCGATTTTGTTCAAACAACAACCGAGTGGAGTCGCCTGCAACAACTAATCGACATAATCGATTATAATCGATCATTGAAAACGTTGTCAACTTTTTCAATCATCGATTAATCGGATTCTGATTGGTTGGCCCTGTTCACGGCTCCACACACACTGCGCGCCGCACCTCCTCCCCACCTCACGCTCACCGCTGCCAGACCCGCCCGCCTGCATCCACGCTCCACACGCCGCACCTCCTCCCCGCCTCACGCTCACCGCCTGCCCGCCCAAATCCACAATCGGCACAGGGACCAGCTATAGAGGAGTACAACAAATCACAGCAAAAATACATTATGCAGCGCAATGACGAATACTGCCAGCTATAGAGGACTACAAAACCCAGCAATAGTACATTATACAGCGCAATGCAAAATACCACTAGCTATAGAGGACTACAAAACCCATCAATAGTACCGTATTTGCTGGCGTATAAGACGACTCGGCATATAAGACAACCCCCTACTTTTTGTGTTAAAATATAGGTTTTGGGCTATACTCGTCATATAAGACGAGTATAGCCCAAAATAATGTTTAAATGCACCCACTAACATCCATGGCGGTATTCCCGAGTGTGGCTCGGGGTTAATTTTCAGTACCATAAGCGGTAACCCCGAGCCGCACTCGGGATTACAGTCTCTTACCTTGTCCATGATCCCCGCTGTGTCCTCCGTCTTCCGCTGAGTCAATCACGGCAGGCTTTGTATTAATGAATACAGGCTTTGTATTAATTAATACAAAGCCTGTATTCATTAATACAAAGCCTGCCGTGATTGACTCAGCGGAAGACGGAGGACACAGCGGGGATCATGGACAAGGTAA